GTGAGTAGATAAATGGGTACTCTCACTCCGGTGGGAGGAAAAATGCTGGCAGCGCCTTGTAAAAAGGAGTCCGGAGCAGTTGCCGGTAAGCGTGAAAAACCACGCGCGCTCAAAAAGGGCGCAAAGCAACGGAAACCCCGCCTCCTGCGCTCTCCAGCTTGGCTCTGCTCTAGGAAGGAGGCACTGGCAAACCACTTCCGAAACTCCTTGCCTTGAAAACTGGAAAGGACTTGTCCAAAGCAGTCACTGCAGAGTCGGTAACGACTGAGCGCAGATTTAAAAAAAAAAAAATTGTAGTTGCCAGATATTGAAAATGAAACTGACTATATAGAAGTGGCAGACAGTTCCGAGCGGCTGGGCACCAAACCTAGCTTTCTGAGATCCTGGAGGGTTGCAGACTATTTGGTTAATATCACCAGAAGAGGTATGGCTGACATGTTGGCCTTTTTAAAAATTTTAACTGTATTTTATTTTTGAGGATTTTAACAGTGAGAATGGGCGTAAAAGGCATATGTGAGGCAGACTACTCCCATTTCCATTATTTTAAACAAAATGGTCAATCCCCTTCCTTACTAAAATTGGTACTGTGTATATTTATGTGTGTTTTAAAGGTGAGAATCTGAGTGAGAGATCAGTGCTCCCTACCCCCCTCCAAAATCTGAAGAAAATGACCTGAAATTACACTAATGAAATAGAATTATTTACTGTCAGGAGTGCTGTCATGGGGGCCATGAGTTGACTGCTACCATAAAATATACATACTACTTCATTGTTCTTTGATCATTTTGAAGGCTATTTTTTCTTTGAATGTATAACTTTTCTGTTTAGCAAAATATGATTAAAGTGTATCTCTCTTCACTCTTTCAGAATAATTCCTGATCTTTCCCTCACTGGGAATTATACAGCAAGAATTAAACACTACAGGGAGTCTTTGAACTTAATGCAGCATTTATATGCCAGTTCTTAAATTTGTTGCAGTGAGATGAATGGTACTACCTTTGGCTGCATTCTGCCAATGTTTGCAGTTATGCATGGAGTGAGATAACTTTTATTTAATTTTTGCTTTTAGTTATGGCGAAAAGAAAAGAAGGCCATTTTTCAGTGCCAACATCCAACAAAAGAGCTAGGCAAGATAGCTCTAATGAAGACCTTAGTGACGAATTCTCACAGCTGCAGAGTGACTGTAGTTCTGACTCGCAATTGGTAAGCTATAAGTGCAACAATGTAATTTTGAAATTATCTTTTAAAGGAAAAGTAGAATTATAACAAATAATTTTAAATAATAAAAATATGTTTAAATAATACAAATAAAATTAAAAGTTATCTGAGGGACCACCTCTCCCTGATTATATCACCCCGTCCTATTAGATCTAGCAGAGAAGGTATGCTATGGGCTCCATTGGCCAGGGACTTGCATTTGGTGGGTCCCAGGAGGCGGGCCTTCTCTGCCATGGCTCCCTCCTTGTGGAACATTCTCCCTTCTGAAATTAGGCTTACTTCTTCCCTGCTTTCATTTAGGAAGTCCCTCAAGACCTGGTTATGCCATCAGGCCTGGGGGTCTTTGGGAACTGGAGACATTCTTTGATGGCTCCACTATGATTGATATTCTGTTCTCTCTGTGGGGTTTGTATATTTTAAAATTTTTGATAAGATTTTTATTATAGTAATTACTTTTTATCTTCCTATAATGATTTTTTAAATTTGCTGTTTTATTTAATTGTTGTATGCCACCCAGAGTTGCTTTGTATGAGATGGGCGGCTGTATAAATGTGAATAATAAAATAAACAAACAAACAAGAATGTTGAAACAATCACAAACCCCAATTTTTTATAACTTTATTAAATTTTAAAAAATGGATAAAAATTAACAAGAAGTAGAAGAATAGAAGAAATAGAAAGAATAAAGTGAAAGAAAGCAAAAGTGCAGAAAAGTAAAGAAAAAGAAAGAAACAAATACAAAAAAAGAATGACTTCCAACCTACAGCAGATATAAGTAAAACATACATTAAACTCTTACTCTTAAGATTTCAACTTAACATCCATTTTTTCTATAATCTATTAATTTAGCTATCAAATCCATATATCATATTTTTTTTCTGTTACCCACATAAAGTCCAAAAGGAGCTTCCAGTTAGTATTAAAATTAGCCAATGTCTTTTCTCTAGTCAAAGCTATTAATTTCACCATCTCAGCTAGTTCCATCAACTTTACAATCCATTCTTCTATTGTAGGTAATATCGAGTCTTTCCACCTTTGAGCATATAAAAGCCTCGCTGCAGTTATATATAAAAACAAAGTTCCATGAGATTTTTCCAATTATTTATCCATCAGCCCCAAAAGAAATGTCTCTGGTTTCAATTGTATATTAATCTTCAAAATCTTCTGAATTAATATGTGTATTTGAATCCAAAATTTTTTAGCTTTATTACATGTCCAAATATGATAAAAAGTCCCTTCTTGTTGTTCACATTTCCAACATATATTTGAAGTCCCTTTATACATTTTTGACAATTTTTCCTGTGACAAATACCATCGATACATCATTTTATAAAAATTCTCTTTAAGATTATACATAATGTAAATTTCAGCCCTTTCATCCACATATTTTCCTATAGTTGCAATTGTATATCCAAAATTTTAGCCCATTTTTCATACAGTCTTTAACTTGTTTATCTTCTGTTTCAAATCTCAACAAAAGTTTATATATTTTAGCAATAAGATGTTCATCATTAGTACATAACTCACTTTCAAATACAGTTTTATCACATTTAGAACCATAGGTCTTTTTATCAACTTTAAATCTTTCTACTAATTGTTCATGTGAAAACCATTGACATATATATCCTTCTGATATCAAATCTTGATTTTATTTTAAATTCACCCTGGTAGAAATCTAAAATGTCATCGTAAGTTAAACATTTCTGCTTAATTACCATTTCTGTTCTGTAATATGCTTCTTGTGGTGATAGCCATAAAAGTATTTTTGGATACAATCTAGATTTATATCTATTCCAAATTCTCAAGCTGGCATGTCTAATAAAATGATTTTTGAACTCTGCATTAATCTTAACTTTGTCATATCATAAATAGCTGTGCCATCCAAATCTCAAATCATGTCCCTAAGTCCAATAGGCTTCTGTTTCTCAGTGTCACCCACTCTTTCATCCAGACTAAACAAGCTGCAAAATACAATTTCAAATCAGGTAAAGCTAAACCACCTCTTTCTTTGGCATCATGCAACACCTTGTATTTTAACTCGAGATTTTTTGCCTTGTCACACAAGTTTAGATATATCCCTCTGTCATTGTTTAAATGGTAAGTCAGTAGTCACAACTGATATTGTCTGAAACAAAAATGACATCCTAGGCAAAGTATTCATTTTTACCACAGAAATTCTTCCCAACAATGACAGTTGTAGTTTCTCCCATCTTAATATATCATTTTAAACGTCATTCCATATCTTAACATCATTATTCTGAAACAACATACAGTTCATATTTGTCAAATTAACCCCAGGTATTTTAAGATTTTCTCAATCTTAAAACCTGTTTTGTTCATCAATTCTATTTGATCTTGTGTCTTCATATTTTTTGTTAACATCTTTGTCTTTTATTAATTTTAAAACCAGCTAGTGCACAATAGTCCCATCCCTTTCAATGGCTCTTCCAACACCAGCATCAAATCATCTGCAAAAGCTCTCAATTTATACGTCTCTTTTTACACCCATTATCCCCTCATCTTGCCTTATATCTCCGTTCAAAACTTCCAAAACCAAGATAAACAAAAGTGGAGATAGTGGACATCCTTGTCTTGTTCCTTTTTCAATCTCACATGGTTTTGTTAATTCTCCATTAACAATAATTTGTGCTTTCTGTAATGTATTTATCGATTTAACCTGTTTTAAGTTCTCGTCAAAATCCATATTTTCTAAAACTTTAAATAAAAATGGCCAATTAAGGTTGTCAAAAGCTTTCTCTGCATCCAGAAAGATCAGTGCAGCTTGTTTTTCATTATGTTGTTCAAAATATTCTATAATGTCTAATACTGTTCTAACATTGTCTTTCAGGTAAAAATCCACGTTGGTCTCCATGAATAAATTTTTGTAAAGGCATTTTCAATCTATGTGCCAAAATCCTTGTAAATAACTTACAGTCACTATTCAGTAATGATAATTGGTCTATAATTTTTAAATTTAAATGTTGTCTCTCTTTAGGTATTAGAGCAATATTAGCTTCTTTCCACAGCTGGAAAGGCATCCCATCTCCTTGTAAAATAAAATTCATTGTCTTCTGGAGAGGCTGTAAAACTTCATCCTTAAACATTTATAATAAGACCCTGGTAATCCATCCGGCCTAGGTACTTTTCCTGGTTTAATCTTTTTTATAGCTTTCAAAAGTTCCATTATTGTTACAGGCCCATTCATAGTCTACCTTCATGTATCTGTAAGCCATGGTAGATTTTGAACTTTTAAATCATCATCTATTTTTTCCAGAGAAATATCTTGTCCTTTATACAGATAATACTGATGAAAAGAGGACTTACTTGTATCCCAAACTGTTCTTAAATCCATACCTTTGTTTAAATTATTCTCAAAAAATTCTACTAATTTCTTTTTACAGTCTTTCACTATCCATTCTTTTTGTAGTAACATTTAATTTAATCTCCATCTAAAAGTAGTAGATTTTGTTTTAAGAATCAAGCTCACCAGATTGTGATCAGAAAAAGGTTTTGATAAAATCTCAACTTTAGTTGTCTTAGTAGCCAAGTTTTTTGAAATCCATATCATGTCTATTCTTGAAAAGGATCTATGTCTTTCAGAAAAATAAGTTTATTCTCTGGAATTGCCTTTTTTTTTTTTTTGGTCTTCATATATCCACTAAAGTTAAATTGTCCATCAAATCGAAAAAAATCTTTGGTAATTTACCTTGAGTATTTTTAATTTTCTTTTCAGATGTTCTGTTTAATTGTGGAGAAACAACACCATTCCAATCTCCCATCAAACACCAGTTTTCATAAGAAAGATTTATCAATTGTTCCATAAGTCATTTATAAAAAATTCCTTTACCTTCATTTGGAGCATAATGTCCCAATACAAAAGTTTTAAGTTCATGTAGTTCAATTTCCACCCCCACGAATCTGCCATGTTGATCAGTCAATATTAATTGTGGTTTTAAATGGGTATTTAACATATAAGACAATTCCATGAGTTTTTTGTTTTTTTTTGGTCCTGCCGAAATAAATTCTTCTCCCAAATTTTTACAAATTAAATAGTTTGTGTCTTTATTTTTAAAACGAGTCTCTTGCAAGCAAATTACATCTTGTTTTAATTTTTTCAAGTTCTGAAAATAATTTTTTCCTTTTATGAGGAGAATTTTCCCCATTTATATTCCACATTACACATTTATAATCCATGGTTAAGCAAATAGTTTTAAAAAAATCTATACCAGTGGCACCTACTCCAAATCATCTTTTTCAAGTTCTTCTGTTGTAATTTTTGGTCAGTCTTCTCTGCAATTTCCATTTGAACCTCTCACACATCTTTAAATTTTTCCAGAAATTCTCTAGTCTTTTGAACAGTATTTAGTTCTCTGTTGTAAAGTAAAAGTTACACCTTCCAGTTTCTCCCAATGGAATGGTATCTTCTGCTTTAATACCTCAGTCAAAAAACCCCCCATAAAACATTCTTTTACGTAAAATTCTAATAAGGATTTATCTTAAAACAACTATATCTGCATTATCAATTTTCAGTCTTGATTTAAAATGCTATTGCAAAACTTGATCTCTTGTACTTCTCCTTACAAAATGCACTAAAACATTTTTGGCACATGTCTTAATGTAGCAAAATGTGAATTTATCCAATACACTTTGTCAATCTCCTCTCCTGTCTCTTCTTTTTTCCAATATAAAAAATCCGACAATGCCTGGACCACCTTTTTCTAAATATCTTCATTTGGGGCCTCTGGAATGGCTCTAAGCCTCAAACAAAATTCTTTCTCAGTTTGAACAAAGCCAACTTAGCCATTCCTCTTTCAAATTCTATATCTCTAATGTCTCATTTATTCTCCAAGATTTTCATTCTATAGTTAGTTTTATTTCTCCAGGCATTGGTTTCATATCAGCAGACTTTGTTTTACAAAAATATTCATCTTGTCCAATCTTTCTTTCATCTTTTTTTCAGAAGTCATAACTTCTAATTCATCAAACATTGATTTAATCAAATTAGCAGAAATTGGCTTATCTTCTCTTTCTTTATCTGGCTGCTCCATAGAGGCTCTTCTAACATTCCGTCAGGTTTTACATGTTGCCATTATAAAAAGCTCCAAAGAGTAAAATGTAGAGCTGAGAAGAGAAAGAGAAAAAGGAGGGGAAAAAAATCCAGGCAAAAAAACTCGAAAGCTATAAACCTTTAGAGCTGTAATTACACGCAATTGCCAGCAGGTGTCTCAGTTAAAAATAGGCTCTGCTAGAAATAGGCTAGACTGATTACTGTGTTCTTTTGATATATGATCCCAGCCAATTATCAGGTCAATTACAAGAAAACTAGAAGAACAGAGTCTGTTAAAGCAGTTATGATTTTAACAATACAGATTCATGAAAAATAAAAAAAGATTCAAAGAAAATCTTCCCTTTTCTCCGTTGTTAACTTTCTTATACCGCTTTAATTATCCCACTTTTTGTGAAGGTTTCAGAAGTTTAATTATTTTAATTCTCCAGATCTTCCCAAAACTTATAGTCCCTCCAAAAAATGAGAAAAATACCAAGAGAAATACTTATCTGCTGTAAAAAGAAGTCTCTCTTAAACTGAAGAATAGATAAATCCAAAGATGGTATAGAAATGGGGCTGGTTCCAGTGTCCTTATACAGGCTGCACTTCAGCCATGAGCAGAGATGAAATCCTTGCCTCCTGGCTGTTCCACTCACAAGCCTCTTGCAAAAACCTCAATTTTTGCGATTTACTCACAAGGAAATAGGTTGATTTTGAGCTTCCTCCTTGTCTGGAGGAAGTTAAAGGTACTGTGGTGCCCGCTGAGCACTCACCAGCTGAGATGCCATCTCTACGATCTTGAAAATGATCAAACTGCCATGCCTGCCACTGGAAGTCTCCAAAAGAGACCCCCAATTGATGAAGTAACTAGGTATCAAATTAATCATCTATTTTAGAAGAACCATTTTCCTATACATTTAACTCAGCAGTGAGCAACCTGGGGTCATCCAGATGCTGAACTATAACTCTAAACATATTTCACCATTAGCCATGCTGTCATAGGCATTGGAGCAATGACAAAATAAGCATTATAGGGTCAAAATGCAGGCTGTGTGACTTAGGTGCTTGCATTCAATTTGGATGTCTGTGCCTATTGTGTGGAACTGCCACTCCTGTTTTAATTAATTATTAGCTGAACTGAGAAAGAAGGCAGTCAATGGCATGAAGTGCCAGGATTCAGGTCGTGGCATTTAATGCTGTTGTGTTTTGGCTTTGGTCAATAGCATCAGCCTTGACTGCCTGCATTAAATTTTAACCAGAAACCTAGACTAAACTGAATTTTGGAAATTGCATAAAATGTTGTTTGAATGCCATGCTAGGAGTTCCACTCTGAACATTGCAGGGGGCTGTGGGCAAAACAAAAATTAAATTTTATTTAATGTAAATTTCCTTGTGATTACTTTATGGATTTCATTTTCCCCTTTTGTCACATTAAAACTTCATCAACAATTTTATAAAATACCTCTGCGGGCTACATTCTTTGAGGGTATGCACATGATCGAGAAGCCTCAGATTTTGCACACTGGCATTAAAAAGGAATCTGAGAAAGGCCAATATAAAATAGTATGTTTTAGGCTTAACATACAATATTTATTCTCAGAATTTTTTAAAATGTTGATTAATACAGAGACAGGTAAAAAGGAAAGTTAGAAGGCTCTAGTTTTAATGTTTGATAGTTACATATAAAAGCTCAACCTTTGTAACCTTATATATGTTGAAAAACAGTAGAGGAATAATACAACCAGCTGGAATTGTTTCCAAGGTTTCTGCTACAACAGGTATTCTTAAACTCTATGTTGGGCCTTCCTGGGGGAACACAGTTTTTTTTCCCTCCCAAAAAATATATGATCAGGCTTGTGCAGGCAAAGTGGGAGCACTGACAAAACACACTCTGGCCTTTTCATTTTTCCTGCACAAGCACATAGTGAGCAGTTGCTGTACTGCAAATTTTGAGAATTCCTGTAATACACAGATTAAAAGTGATATATTTATTTCTTGCCCAATTCTAATACCAAAGAAATCATTAGTTTTTTAGGGGAGGTCCAACAAATTTAGTTATTTTAGGAATCACAGTACCATAGAATTTCAGAACCACTCAAGCATTGTGTTATCAGCATTGTAAGGTTTTGGGATTTTCTCAGCTTGGGTAGAAGAGACTTGTGATCTGGGTTTTTTTTAGCAATTAAAATGTCTTTCTGATGTACCTATAGGTCTCAGGGAAAGTTGGAATAATTGAAAGTATCCAACTGAAGAACTTTATGTGCCATTCTATGTTGGGGCCATTCAAGTTTGGATCCAATGTCAATTTTATAGTTGGAAACAATGGAAGTAAGTTTTAATTCTTTAATCAAAAGTAAAGTCATGGTGTTAGCTTTTCACAGTAGGTATACAGAAAATTTGTAAACATTCTTTTTGTTTCAGTTTGGATCTAAACAACTGTAATAAAAATGCTGCATTAGAAAATTCCAAGTTGGATGTGCTCTAAGAGTATAAATCTTGAAACAGTTCCTTGTTCCATTGGACTAAAGCTTACACTATTTTGAACCATAAGAAATAAGGGAAACATAAAATAAGGTTTTTGATCCCTGGTTTTCTATCTGAAGGCCACAAGAATAGTTGAAGTGATAGTCCATACTGATTGGTGCCAACCTGCCAACTACCAGAAAGATTGATGAAAGGGGGGACTTGAAAAAATGGGGGGAAATCCATATAGGAAGCAGTTGAAACTGGCAACTGTAACTGGCAGAGAAACAAATAACTCTCTGTTCTTACCTTGAAGTGCTAGAACCAGTGGATAGGACAAACAGCTGAACTCTCATCAGCTTTCTTCAGTGAGAAGCTCATTTCATGCAAGATTCTACAAAAGTTATAAATTGCTCTTCATTGTTATGTGTTTCTTTAAACATTTCTAAACATTATATATAGATGAATAACTGGAAAAAAGTGGTTGTATTACTAAGTTGTATCAGTAGCATAAATTTCCATTACAACAGCCAGAGAGAGAGAGGGAGAGAGATTGAAAGAGATTATCTTTCCTACGGTTACTTTTTTGCTGGGGTCTGCCAGCAACAATACTAGCATTTAACAAAATACACTGACATCTCATCAGCAAAATAAGAGCTGCTGCTTTACATACATACAGCCAACAACCAAATCTTCCCAGACTGTCTTTCAACTTTTTAAGCCCAGTGTCAGCAAGTCCTAAGAGCATGCACAGACTGCATAGGCATGGAAAATTCAGCAAAGACCCTTCTATGCATTTTTAAACAAACTGAAAACTCTGTAGCAACAGGCAGAAGAACCAGAGCTCAACCAAATAGTCTTGAAAATATATTGTGTAGGGTTTTTTAGCCTATGTCTTTGTATTCTGTGCATGCCTTTGTATCTTGCTAATGTGAAGCTTATAAAATGTCTTTGAAAATAAAGAATTGCTTCAGTTTCATCCTAAAGCTCCAATCAGCATATTACAAGAGCATGGAAAGAATGCATACCTATCTGGACAATCCAGCTTTGTACTAGCAGTCTGAATTTATAACCTCACAATATTACTAATACTTGTGAATGAAGCACGATAATACACGTCATTGAATTTATATGCCTGATCAGATTTTGGCATTGGTTGCCCAAATTAGGAGCAGATCTGTTGCCTTGCTTTCCTTTGGCTTATTCAGATAAAACAGAAAGAAATGTTAAGCAGAGCCTTGACTGCTGATGTTGAGATTTGTTGGATGGCCCAAATCTCTCCTCCTGGATGTGGCCTACTCCACATCCTTTGAGCAACCAAGAGATCACTCCACTAGGAGAGATTGCCATTATAGATCATGCTTCTTTCACCCTTGGATCATATAGACTGGCAAGTACAAATATTTGCTCATCATTCAAGTTTTCAACTGGTATAAAACTCCAGAATCCAGAGTCTAAGCTTCTGTATTTTGCCCAGAATCATTTGTAAGAAAAGAACCAAGAGCAGAACCTAGTTCAGCATAAGTGCCTCTGTGTTGTGAAAAATAATGGTTCAAAGGCAGAAAATGCTCATAAATCTAAACTCTAATGGTCAAGGAGTTCCAAGGGCCTTGCCATGTCATGCACCTATAATTGCTTGTTGTTTGAATGGAAAGTAGATGGAGTTCCACTGGATGGGGACATTGTGAAAGATAATCTGTTCAGATTGGTGGAAGGCTACCTGGTTGGGGTCTAACATTAGCCTTCCCTTAAAACTTCAGAGGAAATAGCCAGAAATGTTATGCCCTTTGTCCATAAGGACACTTCTGACAACCTGCTGAGATAATTTTGGTGCTGCTCTTTCCACACCAAAACTATCCTGCCCAATCAGGTGCACTTTATAGGCAATATAGCTGATGCTGATAGTTGTACCTGATGTGCCTTTGCACATTGGTGTAATTTTCCATGACAGCTGTGAAATCATGGTTAGGTTTTTAATGTCCAGACAGCCAACTCTTCAACATGTCACAATACTCTTCTGCCAAGTCAATCACACCCAGCACCTTTGTGTAAAGCAGCACTCACCTGTGCCTTGTTCATGCACCATGGAAGGTGTTGGTAGCTATATTAGCAGTTGTCCTTTTACTCTTCCCCATCATTGCATAGTGAAGGAAAGGTAAGATATGCACATCCTACCTTGACTGGATCAGGTATTTGAGGTGAAATGGATACTTATGTGAGGGGCTATTGCTTGCAGCAGTCATAGCACTTCCTCCTTGAGTACCCTTCTGCTGAAGGTGGTTAATGAGAAGATCAGGTAATTAGGGGCAACTATATAGAGGAGGTAGTAGAATCCAGCACCCTCTGCCATACTGAAGTTTGTATCTATTGCCTTTGTATAATCCTGCCACTTGCCCCCAATGGTTACTGCAGCCACTGAACAGCTATTTTGATTTTCTTGAGAGCCTGAGAGCTGCTGTTTGTTGGCAGGGATTGCTGAAAGGACGTTTGGATGATGGTTAAGCCAGTGCATAATTATCTCTGAGACTGAAAGATGTTTAATTTCCTTTTCCCTACTGTTTACAAGCAGTATAGCAGGGGTCTTCTAGCTAAGACTTGAGGTGCTCCCAAAATATGCTAGCCTTGGGCTCACAGCATGCTCCCTCTGATCACTAACACTACCATCTCTGGGCTTGGCTTCAGGGGACTGCCCTGGGTTGCTAAGAAAACAGAACAATGAATGATGCCACTATTGTCTTAGCTTATGCTGGAGGAAGAGTCTTTACCGCAGCACTGGGTTTTCAGCCTTATTCATCTTGTTACTGAATCAAGTATTTTAGGTGTATTTCTCTCCATTCATAGACCTACACTTTTTCTAATGACTCCTCTCCTCCTCCTGTTTTTCTCATTAATAGCTTATTTGAGAAGCATTTTTTTTTAATAGTGGGGAAGGGCTGGATGAAAGGTTGGGGGCGGGGGCTAAAGACAAATTTCTGTTTAAAAGGTCTTTGTGTGTACAGCAAACAGCATAGCAGTTCTATCACTGCTGATTCACATATCCACTTATGTTTATTGCTTTCTTCAGGTGGGAAAAGTGCTGTGCTAACTGCCCTGATCGTAGGCCTTGGAGGAAAAGCCACAGTGACAAACCGAGGATCATCTTTGAAAGTATTTGTGAAAGATGGACAGAGGTTAGTGAATTCCAGAATTGGAATAGAACAAGCAAGAGCAGTGCCAAGTGTGGGGAAGGAACATCTGGACTTTCAGCTAGAAATGATAAGTTTTAGGCTGTTTTGCAGTGCCAGGTATGGGGAAGGAACATCTGGTATTTTAATTAGAAACTCTAATTTCTTTTGAGGCTGTTTTGCTGTGAGGGAAGTTTTGGCAAAAGTAAGAGTGAATGGATATAGAGACTTTCCATTGCAGGCAGGTAGTCAATGTGGAAAAATACCTGAGAGGAGGAGGAGGCACTAGCACACTTTAGAAAAGTTTAGATTGCTTCCTTCAGTTCAGGATTCATTGATGTGAGGGCTATTCTCCACAGCTCTTTTCCAGTTAATCTACTCTGGTTTCTGTTACTAGCTGGCAAAACGTTCAGCTGAGATATGCTCTGGATTCAGTCCACCAAAGCTATTATAGCACTGGCTGTGTTCTTCAGGGAATTGTGATGTAGATTTCTGCTGCGTTGCTAAAAATATTCAGCCTTTTATATTTTGTATGCCAGTGTTGTCTTTTGAAATTGTCATGCTCAGTTCTTTTGGCACTTAACACCTGCTTACTCTTCTTCTGGTAAGTAAACTTACTACTCTATCGATATGTAGATACAAACTATTAAGAAAGGCATCTTATTTTACTTCTAACTTTGGTATTTTGAGTGGTCAGTTCGATAGTCATATGAGCCATCCTTCACCTGCACTGCAATTGCCTTTGTTCTTCTTTCTTTCTTTTGTTTCCATTTATGTGACTGATACTCAGTTGGATCCTTGAGCCGAGTTAAAAGATGGGAACCATGCTCAAAATGCAGCTGGAGGGTAGGGAGCTGTTGGGTGTCTCTCAAAGCTCTAGCTATATAAGCTTTCTAAACTAAGACCAGTGCAGTTGTTGAAGCCATATTGTGACCACTTAAAGTACTGCAATTATAAATAAGCACTCTCTCAATGGCAAATCATTTTGTGGTTCAGTTCCGCAGATGTTTCAATAACTCTACGAAATCAAGGTGAAGATGCATTTAGACCAGAGCAATATGGTGACTCTATCATTATAAATCAGCACATAACTTTGGAAGGACATCGTAGTTACAAGCTGAAAAGCAGTTCAGGTTTGTTTATATTTCACTTTCAATTTTGAGAATGTTTATACCTTTTGAAGAAAGTTAAGTTGTACAGGTAGTCCTTGGTTAACAACCACTCATTCAGTAACTGTTCAAAGTACTGGTCGTCGCACCACTTCCACAGTCACGTGATCATGATCCAGGCACTTGACAACTGGCTCCAATGTCCCACGGTCATGTGATTGCCATTTTCAGCCTTCCCTGCTGGCTTCCCATAAGCAAAGTCAGTGGGAAAGCCAGCAGGGAAGACTACAAGTTGCTCCTGCCACTTTTTCTCCCTAGGAGCCCTGCTACAGAGTATGAGATCATGCTGTAGCACCTCCTCAGCCTGCATGCACTTGTGTGGGATCTCCCTGCCTCACTTCTAGTACTTAACTGCTCCAACCTGCTTGCAAGCCGCCTGGGACTTGCAACTTCTAGTTTGCTTCCCCATTGACTTTGCTTGTGGGAAGCTGGTAGGAAATTGCAAGTTGCAGTTTTAACAATGACAACAGGGACTGCTGGGATCGCCGTCGCTAAGCGATGTGGTCATGTGACGTTGCACTTTATGACTGCATTGCTTAGCGATGGAAATTCCAGCCCCATTACTGTTGTTAAGTGAGAACTACTTGTACTGAGCTTTAAAAAGCTGAACTTGCATGTTGTTCCTTATCCTCTTCCAGTAATACGTTTTTGGTATGTTTTTAAGTTCAGTGTGATATGCGAAACACCCCTTCATTGATGTTACTTAGTTACATTTTTTGTGAAAATACCATGTCTTGGATTGTGATCATATGCGAAACACCCCTTCATTGATGTTACTTAGTTACATTTTTTGTGAAAATACCATGTCTTGGATTGTGATCATATGCGAAACACCCCTTCATTGATGTTACTTAGTTACATTTTTTGTGAAAATACCATGTCTTGGATTGTGATCCTAATGCTTCTACCCTTGCAGGGCCTGAAGATACACTATCACAGCTATACAAATAGTAGAATATCACCAATTCCAAGGCAGAAGGTGGTAGAGGCATATTATGGCAGAGAAGAAACCTAAGCTTTAAAATACTTAGTGCTCAGCCAAGCCAGTTATCTCCTCATTGCAGATCAGTATATTTTTCAGTGAGCCCCTTAATAGTCTTCTTCCTCCCAGCCCACAAGCATAGGTTACTTAAGAGCAGTTTAAAAAAAAAAACTTTATGTATGATTATCTTATATGAACTGGTGAATCTCATCCAAATATATAAGAAGGAAGAAACAATTGTTTTATTTTTAGGTGGTTTGCTTCTGGGGCTTTCCTTTCTCTTTCCGCTATTTCTCTTGCTGCTTTTCTGCTTGCTTAAATAATCCAGAGTCAGCAATCATTAACTATAATGGTCTAAGTCAGGAGTAAGCAGTCTAGTGCTTTCCACATATTTTGGACTGTAGTTCCCATAAACCATGGACATTGGTCATATTGGGACTTATGGGAACTCTGGTTCAAAACATAATAGACACCATTTTACTTACTGATGATCAAAATGCTGACTAATGCTTTCACATTCTGTTCTAACTCCTTGCCTGTTTCTGTGGCAATTAGGCAATTTGGATATAAATAAATACTTACAGAGTTGTTGGCATGGTGGATTGTGTGAGTGCTGTGCTGGTATTAATCACAAAATAGCAGATAAAAATCTCATTGAATTAAAGAACTGGCTTGTTAAGAGACTGTGTTTTTCCCATCAACTTCCAATAAATGGTGCTATTAGCAATATAGGCCTATTGACAACACCATATCTAACTCTGAGCTTCATGTCAGATTTGGTCAGATTTGCCTTTTGTCTAAATTACATAGTGAAGCTCAGACAACTTTTTCTTAAATGGGTACATTATTAGAAAGCCTGTTCTATTAAAAGGCTCTATAGTCATATTTTTAATGATAGTTATAGTTATTCTTTCTTATATTCAGGGGCCCTAATTTCTTCCAAGAAAGAAGAACTTACCGCAATTCTGGATCATTTTAATATCCAGGTAACTGCAATTCCATACTGAACAGCACTGTATATACATTTTTACTGTTGAAGGTCCCATTGGTAATCTGGATTGTAGGTCATAGGATATGTGGAATTTGTAATTGAATTAAACAAACAAACAAACAAAACCCCGCTGAGTTACCAGTTCATAAATCTAAAAACCCTTAAAGATGTAAAATAATATAAATACAATAAAGGAATTTACAGTAGTATGTTTTTCATTAGAAGTTTAAAAACAAGCTGGACCATTGTAATTATGAAAATGTAGTGTGGGAATAGGTATGGACGAGAATAGTTGAATGTCAAGTGGCTGACTTTTTATATTTTTTTCAAAGTAAAGTACTGTTTTTGTTGCAGGTAGATAATCCTGTCTCTGTACTCACTCAGGAAATGAGCAAACAGTTCTTACATTCTAAAAATGAAGGTGACAAATACAAGGTAATAAAGCCACCATATAGTATGGTTTCCAATGTATATAATGTGAACCATGTTTGTGCAGAAAAATATGATCATTTGAAGAATGGAAAACCAGTGTGTGCCATCAGTTCCTAAATTTTGAGTAGCTTGCAGAGCATGAAGAAGGAAGTCTAGAGGGATATATGGACAGTTGCACAGAAGAACCTAACTTGCTTTTTCAGGAGAAGCTTAATATCGCATCTCTGAGATGTATGTATTGAACTGGGGAGTAGAAAAGACAGAGCTTTGTTGAACTGTATGAAAGAGTTGTGCTCCTTAAAAAACAGTTTTGAAATATGATTTTTATGTTTCTTTAGTTCTTTATGAAAGCAACACAACTGGAGCAGATGAACGAAGATTATTCATACATCATGGAAACTAAGCAAAGAACGAAAGATCAAGTTAAACAAGGAGAAGAGGTATTAGAAACTACTTCTAATATTGTAGTTTGTAGCAACAATATACCAGTAAAGGCTACATAAATTTCTAACATAAAACAAATAAATGCATTTTTACTTTTTTAAATGTTAGTAAAAACTCAGTAGAGGTGAATATGTGTAGCTTAGGGCTGAACTGTGGAGTCCTTGGGGTTCTCTGAGCTTGGTTCTTTTCTTGCAAACGTTTCATTATGCG